TTTCATATTCATGATCTCCATGTTAAAGATTATATATTCACTAAAAATTAGGATCACATTATATTAATAAATATATTTACTGCCAAGCCCGCATTTCTACAATATGCAGGCTGGGCCACATAGAAACCGTGTCCTAAGAACAAATAGACCAACAGATGGAGCATATCTAAATGCATGATAATGTCACAAATATAAGATAGGAAAATTAATTTACGAATTCCTTTTTTAAAAAAAAATAAAAAATGGTCCCAAATATTTCAAGTTTTCAGTTTTTTTATTTAAAAAAAAAACCCTGGTTCGACCCTCAATTGTTTGCCCCAGTTTGAACTCCCTTTCCTGCTATCAAGCCAAAAGCCAGTTAGAACCCGTTTGAACCTTTGAGGGTCGAACTGGTTTCTGTTAATAAGCCAGAAGCCAATTCGACTTTTCCAGGTTGAAGGGTCGAACAGACATTTGTTAGCAACAGATTGAACTAGAGGCATTTCTGGAAATAAAAAAAGATAATGAAAAAGGGCCCTCTATGTGAAATTGGTAAATTTTCAGACCATTTTTAAATTTTGAAGTAAAAGGCATCCATTGAGATACCAGTTATGGAATAAGAAGTTCCACGTATTTCAAAGTTCAACAGAGACATCTGGTAAAACATCAAAAGATTCTGTGGAGATTTGGAAGTCTCAAGAATCTAAAGAAGAATTTTATAAGTAGTCCATTATAGGGAAAGGGAAGTGATAAGGGATCCTATGTTAATGAAGAGAGTTTTCTTTCTTTTCTTTTTATCATTGAAGATGTTAAAATTCTACAGAGAAATTTATAAGTTATATGGAAATATTTAAGATGTTTCATTGCCTAATGGTGGGGACTATAGAAGAGTGCAGATTTTGTTAAATTGTGTTTTTGGTAGAGTTGTTTTAGAGAACTCTGATTTCCCGATGTAGTACTTCCTAGAAGAAATAGTAATTGATTATTCACAACACCACCAACATGTAGTTCCCAAAATAAATTTCAAGGAATAAGAGAAGGTGGAATGCTTACAAGTTCAATGTAAGTTTTAGTTAAGGAATATTGGAGTACTCGGCCTATTTCTGAAAGATGATGTGACATGGGAAGGTGTTTTGCTTTAGCCGTTTCTGAGGTATTGGTAGGGATGGAAATGATAGAAACTTCAGGTAAGCAAGGACAAAGAGCACATTGGTGCCTGACCATATCAATTGAGCATAATTCATAGGTTGTTGCTAGAGAGAGATATTCATTCTCGACTTCGCAGTTCCTTGAATGTAGAAAGGGGTCTCTTTGTTTTATTGATGGACTAGTGAAGTGCACATGAGCTTGTATCGGTTGATGGAGATCCAAGACATTATCTCTATAGATATATGCTACCTAACACAAAGAGGGAATCTAACACTTGAAAATAAAATAGAAGAAAGGGAATTTAGTGAAGTGGTTAATGCTCTAGTCCATCATGGAGCGCCTTGCACGAGTTGAATATGTGGAAGCCTCACCCATCCTCACAGTATTCTGTTGAAGCACGCTATAAAATCTATTTTTCCAGCTCAAAAAGTTGATTATCAGAAACATATTAAGAAATGAATACATAAGTTGGGAAAAGACTCTGATGATGATATAAAGAAATGAATACATATAAGCATTTTAACTAAATATGATTTAAGCACAAGCCACTTATTTCATAGTTTAATTTCATGACCTTTACAAAGCTCTCCACTAAAAATAATCATTCTCATCAAAGTAAAGTAGTAGAAAAATGAAATTCAATGTTTTCAATACTGATTATATTTTACTCGATATGATTTGAGCACGAGCCACCTATTCATAATTTCATGACCTTTACAAAGCTCTCCACTAAAAAATAATCATTCTTATCAAAGTAAAGTAGTAGAAAAATGAAATTCAATGTTTTCAATACCCATTTTGTGAAAATGTAAACGACATGTTCAAATATTCAAAAGAATATGGTTACAACAAAGCTATGACTCATTATACATATGGAGAGCATCACAATGCTCCATGTCCCACACAGACTTATGCAGAGGTTTGGAATCTTGAGGGCCCATAAATGGCTCTGGCCCCAACATTGGAGCCAACACCTCTTTTGAACTATTTTCTGAATCCATTTTTTGTCAAGTCACCGTAGAGCACTCTGTGGTAACATGATTGGCAATTTCCCCCAGTAACCATTTACTAAAGTTAAAAAACTCATCTTCAGTGTGGGTGTTTTCTAGTTCCTTAAATATTGAGTCATTTACAGGAAAGAAAAGAGAGCAGAGTACTTACAAGATTGTTGTATGTTTTTCGTAAATAGATTTGGGAATACTTCCAAAAACTCTTATTGGGTTCCTTACTGATGGACATGTGGCCTATTTGAAATAGAATTTTCAGAGGTGAGTGCTGGAGCACATCAAGTGAACAGAATCTCAGTCACAAGCGGTTGCTAGAGAGAAATATATTCATATATTCATTCTCGCCAATGGCTGCTTGGGTGTGGAAGGGGTTCTCCTTGAATTTTTTCAGATGGAGTTGTGAGATGCAAATGAGTATGTGTAAGTTCACGGAGATCCAAGAGATGTTCTTCCTTGAGAGAAAGAGGGAATTCTATCTAGTGCTTTATGCTCTAGACCATCATGGAGCCTCCTATGAAGGGGTTGAATATGCAGGACTCTCTCCCAAGTAAATTTTCATCAGTTAAGTCTGTGATATACTTGAAATTTTCAAGCAATACACAGTTAATTACCATAAACAGATGTTGGTATAGTACCAAATGATTAGGGCATACTTATCTATATCACAATTTTATTTCATGAACTTCAAAATGTTTCCAGTGAAAAATTCCCTGTGACTATTCAAAGTTCACAATACTTGGTTTTGCGAAAATGATAACATGTTGACCACGAGTCACAACAAAACTACAGTACAAAATAGACAAGAACATGCATTTCCACATCCCCTAGAGATGTTGGCTACTTCTTGGGGCAATGAAAAGAGTCAAAAAAAAATTCTCAAAAGAATAGGAGCATAGCGCGAGGCAGTGGAAGAGGGGATTTAAGTTGAACTGCATATTCTAGGTGCTTACAAGGCAAGAGTTATAGGATATGATAAAGGACTTAAAATGGCGGAAAGGAAGTCAATAGTGCATAATGAGGCATCATGGAACAGGGGTGAGGAAAATGTGGAGCCGCCTTCATAGAGGAACATTGAAGCTTAACTTGGTAGCTCTTTCGGTTACCTTGGCCTTAAAAGAGCACGCATATCAAATTGGAATGGTATGGCTAGAGTAGAAAAGGCCTTCTTCAGAGTGAATAGACTTGTGGATTCCTGCGTAGTGCACTATGGAATTCATGAAAAAACCATTTTTTGGCCCCCTACTTGTAATAGGATGATTTTTTAAAATTAATTTATTGGGCAATCAGTGATGATCCTATTCAAGCAAGACCCGCACACATTTGCTTAAGAAGATTGAAAATTTCGGATAGCTCTTTAGAGGTGCACCTTACTTCAATAGTATAAGGGTGACACCTTATACAAACCTCACCCTTGTTTTAGATGGACCATGGATGATAGAAGTAACTAGTAAAAAAAGTCAAATATTGCTTTAATATTGAGTGTATAATTAATCTTTAGGTCACATACTTGCATATGGAGATTTAAGCATTATTTGTCAAAAATTATGACAACATGAGATTGACTAAACTCTTTTGGAAAAAGTTTAAAGAATTAGAAGAAATCGTCAGTGCGTCATCCTTTGCAAAATACAGCAACAAAAACTTCATGGAGAATCCCATACCATGCAATCTAGCTTATATGCTACGTATCTAAACTTAATTTGTATTTTAGCTAATATGTCATCTATCAAAAATCAATTTGGATTTTGGGGATTGCCCAATGACCAATCAAGAATCCCACATCCAGAGCTTCTGTTTTCACCCTTGTATCCTGGAACTGATTGTACTTTAAAATGACCAAAATTGTCATATAAGAAACATTTGTGCATTGAAAGAATGGGTTCCCTCCATGCATTTCATTTACAATACTATATAATCTATTTAAGTGAATCAAATCAAGTCAAATAATAAAAATAAAAATAAAAAGTAATCAAATCAAACTTTGTATAATGATTGATATATCCTTACCTTTCCACATATAATTCTAGAAACCATATAATGCTTTTCCATGCCATTTAATTAATTTAGAATCCTCTCTTAAATTTCATACATTCTATCTCAAGGAGACTAATTTCATGACCAATATCGATCTCATGAACCCCATTTACAGATGAAATTAGGAATTCAAATTATTTACAAATTGAAAGATAAGAGGACTGAAACTTACATGCCATCCCCAAAATCTTCATTGATGATATCCTTAATGCTCTCCCCAAAGTGCATAACAGCTTCATTAAATCTACGAACATTATTTGCATCATGCAATCAATTATTGACATAGTTTGGAAGATCATTCAAAAGCAAAAAACACCTACCCAAAAAAAGGAAAAATATAAGAAAGGAGATACTACTAAATAATAAACTGAATCAATTTTGGAGCTACACATGATAAAATGGAAGAAAAGAAAATAAACTAAACTGCATGCCAAGAGAAAAAATACAGTAACCCCGTGACAGTCGTTACCATCCAATCAGCAGGTTGGACAGTGATCAAGCCCGAACATGACCTAGGACACTAATGATCGTCATGACCACATATCCGATGTGATCAGGAGGATAAGTGTACATATTAATAAGGATAAATAACACAAAAGTCTGAACCAGAAAAACCTTCATCTCACATTATGTGTTATTGACAGTTGAGATGATATTATACTATACACACCAGAAACATGGTGCATAGTGCGTCTTTCCAATAACAGCACCTTCAAACTTCTCTCTCTCTCTCTCCTGTATTCATACACTACCATACCATCAATATCAATTACACACTTAAAAAATAATCATCATACGAGCTAAAATCATTGTTCTCCACTCTGTCTCGATAAATTCTTTCTGAATAGAAGCCTTATTCTATTCTCTGAGGTATTCAATTAGACATTCAAAATAACCCACAAACACCTCTCTCTCTCTCTCTAGGATACTTTTTGTCTCTCCTCTCCCCTTTCAGAATTCAAAACATAATGAATGAATTTCATTAAAAGAAGTAAAACCCACCTGTAAATTGCAGGGTCTTGAATGAGATTTGGGTCATAAGACCTCATAGGAGGCTTCATCATTTCTTGAACAAGATCTTCTGGTAATTGGGGCAATGCTGATCGCATCAATTCAGCAGTCTGTGGCTTAAGCTGAGCTTGCCTTCTCAGCAACTGAGCAGCGTAAACGTTTGTAATTCCCAATTCGCACCCAATTTGAGTATATGTTTTCCCTGAGCTTTCTTTCACTGCTTGAAGCCTACTCACCACGCTCCCTTTGTTCTCCATCACACTTTCTCTCTCTACAAACAGGGGACTCTTGATGGTTTTCTCTTTCTGTCTCTACCAAGAGGGATAGGAGAGCTATACATATATATATTCTCTATCTTCTCTCTGGCCAGATGAATGTGGATAGTATTCTTTCTTGTTTCTCTCTGCAACCTCTACAGTGCGAGGATAGGGACATCTCTGGCCTCTGCTCTCTCTCCAAACCAAATTCGGTTCTCTCTCACACGAGGAAATGGACAAGGGGAACAGCGCGTGGGGTCGGGACTTGGTGACTTGGGCCCGGAACGCGTCTAAAAATTTTAAAATAATAATAAATAGTTTTATATATTCTAAAACATATTTTATATATTATTATATAAAAAAATTCAGGAGCAAAAACTCTAAACAATTAAATTGAAGCCTACCTCGAAAATTTCACTAGATGAGGTTGGTTTTTATTCTCATATATATTTGAATTGATCATCTCAACATCAAGATGCATTAACACAAAAAAATAAAATAAATTTCAAGTTTTGAAAACAACACATCTTATAACCCATTTTTTTACTATTAATTTCTAGGTAAATGGGCTTGGGACATGGTGATAGTATCCCATATCCTAGAAACCCAATCCCACGAAAAAAAAACTGGAAGGGGCTATCTTCCTCATTGAATTAAATAATTGTTTTTTTTAAAAGAGTTTCAAGCTTTCATAAATTTGCTTGATCTGAAGCTTTAAATTTTATAATCAAAAAGGAAAATGTACTTTGAGGTTATCACAAAAATTTTCAATATTAAAATCATATTTCTCGATACTATTTGAATGGGTGCTTTACTTTGATTGTTTATAACCTCGGTTCTATACAAACCACACCCTTATTATATACTAAGATAAATCAGGCCAAGTCGACTCCCACCCAAACCCAAGTTAAGGCCAAATCATTTGATGTGGGGGTCTAAAATTCAGACCAAGACCCCGTTAAGGTCGACCTGACCCGCCACCCTAAATGGATAAGGGCGGCTGTCCCACACCTAAACGGACAAGGGTGGCTATCCCACGCCTAAATGGACAAGGGCGCAATCAATCAGTGTAGAATTACACCAAAATATCTTTACAAAATACAAAGCAAGTAGAAGTTAGAAATGGACAGCTCCCATGGAGGAGAGAGGCTTTAATTGGTGCAAGGCGGCGGGCATTAGGGTGCCTTTTATGGCCGTGCTGCGAGCTGCCTCGGCTCCTCTATACCTACAAGGTTCGTTTGATCTCGGTGTAGATGGTTGTGCCCGGCCGTTTCGAGCCACCTGGCCCGGTGCCCGTTCCACCCATAGTTGGGCATTAGAGAAGAGTGACCATGCAGTCATAATACCCGTTTTAGCTCAAGTACAACACATATTAAGAGATGTGAGGTACTTCAAGTGGATGATTTAAAAAAACAAGGATAAATTTAAAGGCAAGCTTCCCCTACAACATAAAATTTTTATATTTTCCATCATCTAACCGTCCATTTTGAATGAAAGGCTAAGATTGCCCCAATCATAATGTCACGTCTCTATACTATTTTATTTTTAATTTTTTTCTATAAATTATTTTGACACAAAATTTTGTACGTCCAATCATCTATTAAACTTGTACTCATGAACAATATAAAAAAAATATTTGTAATAAAATAAAATGATCAAAATGCCTTTTAAATTTTTAAAGGGTATTTTGGTCATTATATTTTATCAAAAATTTATTTTTAATATTTTTTATAGGTACGCCTCAATAAAAATATGACACGTACCAAATTTCATGTTCATACAATTTGTATAAAAAAAAAACTAAAAATAGAATACTTTAAGACATCAAATATAAGATCAAACAGTGAATGTCTCTCGTGATCAAAATTGGACGGCTGCATGGTAGGGAAAGCATAAATTTTCTATGTTGTAGAGAAAGTATAGAAACCTTTCCCTAAATTTAAAAGGACATGATGACCCACCCTAGTATTAGTTGTGAAAATTCGGAGAGATACAAGTTAATTCAAGTAGAATGTTAAAAAAAAAAAGAGAACAAACTTAAAAAAACATGATTAAAAATAATAAAAAAAAATATAAGAACTTATAGCTTCATTGATGATAGCTTTTAATAGAGTTGAATGATAGAACATAAATTGTATAGCTAACTCCAATTAATTAAGAAAAAACTCTGATAATAATGTTGGTTATGAATTGGGTTAATAAAAAAATAAAATTTATGACCTCAAATTATTAAAATAAGACCTTATGAAGATGATGACAATTGGCAGACAGAGAAGGGTAGTGATTCTTGAGTCATCTAGCAAATGTCATGGTTAATGGGGGCACTTACGTCATTTTACCGCTATCTGGACTTCTCCGTCATTTTCAGAAGATGGCGATTTTCGCTTCAGAAAAACGATAAAAGGGGCACTATGGTCATTTTTCCACGCAAAAATGCAGCGGGAAGTTCAAATGTTACTCCAACCCAACGGATGTCGGGGCCATTTTCTCCCGCCAAACTCCATCGAATACGAAACGTACATCCTCGAAACCAACGGTTGCAAATCTCCTAGATCTACAATGTAAAGATCCCGCCTTTCATAAGAACAAATAAAGTAACACAAGGGTACGTTTATATACTTCTAAGAACCCTAAGTAACGAAAAACAGCAACTTTTTTGCAATCATTTGTTTGCTCACTGATTCAAAGAAACAAGGAACTTCTCTGCAATTTTAAATGGCGGACCAGTCTCTTTCTGAAACCTTTCTCAACCCATGTATTTTGCATTTACAGAAGATGGGCCTCGAGTTTAAATGTCCCATTTGGTAAATAGCTTATTTTCATATTTTCTTCTAACTTTTTTGGTTGCGATAAAGAAATTTATGGAACTAATCAATGATTTATGGGAGAAAGAATAAGGTCATTTAGGGATAAAGGTCTGTTTTTTTTTTTCTCTATTGTTTTATGTGGGAAATATGTGTTTTTTGTGAATAGTGCTGGAGCTCTATGTGGAACTTGTCATGCTATATTTATTTTTTAGGGTTTCCGCATTGTCATCTGAATTCTTTTGTCGAATTCATGGAACGAGGAATATGTGAAAAGTAATCATTGTACAATGCTTCTCTTTAGAAATCAGACATTCTATTTTTAATAATTATGGGAAATAGCTGTAGTTTAGTTTAGATTTATGTTTTGAATTGGGCCGGAAAATGGCTGATTTGGTGATCCACCTTAAATCAGTCTAACATGAAAAAAATCTAGTTATAACAATGTAAAAATGAAATAATATTCTGATAATGAAACACATCCCACTCAAATAAGACTCTCACCTTAAAATTGACCGATGGGAGTCTTAGTTTGTTCTTTGAAGAACAACTGTGAAGTCATGCTATCAATTTTTTTTCTTTTCTAAAAATTGAAGTCATGCTATCGGATTGTTGAGATGCTCAATTGAATCATAAAATCGGCATGTAGACTGTGTTTCAGCAATGTGAATTCCAAGAAAATGTGAGTTGGATCAATCTGGATTTCTTATATTTGAACTGCATTTGTGGTTCTTAACTGAGAAATTAATAAAAATAAACACTGATTGCATCTTTGCAGCTTTTATGACGTGTGTACAAATTTTAGTTTTTCTGGTTGTTAAATGGTGTCTTCCTTTTAAATTTCTTATTCTTACATGATCTACTAGTGGGGAAGTGGTTTTAGTTCTTATGTTATGTATGTTTCTAGTGGGCTTGAGACTCATAAGTTTCCAATTTGTAATTTTTTAGCATGCAAGTGATGGGTCTTGGATTAATGCTTAATAAATGGCTAATGTTGCTGAAAGTTTAGTCATTGACTATTTTCTCAATTCTGTCCTGCAGCTTAAAGCTGTTGAACCATGCTGTGTCTCTCTCATGTGATCATATCTTTTGTAGGTATGAATTTCGTCCAAAACTTAATATCACATGCAATTGGATCAGTTTTGCTCATGATTTGTCTTCTTCTTTTTCTCCTTGCTTTAATAATCCAATTATTTGTTGCATTTTTGCAGTTCTTGCATTTCAATAGCAGTATTGCCTCGGTTGGAGTGTCCTGTTTGTAGATTACCCTATCATTCTCAAGGTAAAATTGCGCATGATTGCCAGTTAGATTACAATCGATAGCATTTAGTTTTAATTGATTTGTTTGATATTAAATTGCATCTTATTAATCCTGTAATATTTTACGTCTCTGTTTTTTAGATTTGCGGGTTGCCCCTCATATGGATAGCTTGGTGAGTTTATACAAAAACATAGAGGCTGTAGCTGGCATCAGACTTTTGGGGGCTGACTCCCAGCAGTGCCATTCAGGTTGATCAACTAGAACCCTGGCTTATCTCTTATATTCATTCTATTTGTTTGCATTTTGACTTTGTTTTGCAATAAATGCATTTAAGATATTGATTAGCAAAGACATTTTGTGGATTCATGATTTATGTTTTCTATGCTGCTCTCTTGTTAGGAAACTGAGAGGCAGGAAAGCTTAAAATGAACCCAATCATGGCGCAATGCTATTGATGATTGAACCTTTGATTTGTCCATCATCTAATGACTTTCTACAAATTTGCTATTAACAGATTTGAAGAAACCAGAAAAATGTTGCTCTGAAATGGGGAATGCTAGTATTGGTGTTTCTTCTAAAACGAAATTTAAGAGATGGTATGGAAGCGATGAAAATTCATTAGCTGAGAAATCAACTGGTCCTGTATTCCCTGCTAAGAAAAGGCTTCAAGCTTCACAGTTTCCAGGAGTAGAACTCAGTGCTCCTTCAAGGCCAGAAAATTCTTATAATATGAAAATTGATCATGCTAAAGACGAGGTTGAAGGCAGATCACGTGGACTTGTTAAAGTTGGAGCTGAAAAAGGGAATAACAATTTTGATGCTTTACAGTTAAATAAAGATGAAGTTAGCCCTGATGTTTTGCAATCTGAGTGGTCAAGAAGTTTTGACCACGCACATGACCCATCAAATTCTCCACTGTCAAGTGTTACCAAGAATTTGAAGGATGAGAGATTTAATCTGGGAAAGGAAAATGTAATTTTATTGATCTCATGGTCTTAAACCCCCATGTTTAACTTGATTGAGATATGCATTCAAATTCTTGGTTGGTCTTCGTGTTAACATAATGAATATTAGAATGCTACATTAAATTCCTGAGAACTGTAAGTGTTCTCTGTTTTTGTAGGACATTATACATAATTATTTGATTTCACAGAAATTCCAATCTACATAATCAGTTCTTATAAAATTTTCCATTGTTATATCTGTCAAATTTAAAGTCCACTGACAATGTAATATTTACATTGCAACACATTTATTTTGCTAGGTTTCAGATAATGATGAACTCATTTCAGATTTTTTTCTGAAGTTTTGGAAAGTCTGATATTCTTTGTTTTTTCCATTAAATAACAGTGTGGGGTATTTATAAATCACAAGAAAAAGTATTGGACAGGTAGTTTATTTTTGTTTTTTTCACTATCTTTTCATTTGAAATAATTTGCAGAGTCCTCAGCAACCATCAGATATCAAGAAGAAACACTACGAGGAAATGCCTGGAGTGCTTTTCCATGAGGAACATCATGGGAAATCGAAGAGTAACCACAAATATCATGCAAAGGAGAAAAACCGAAAAGAAATAAAGAAACAGAAGAAATTGAAATCCAGGTTTGACAATAATGATCACTGCCAAGAGAATCAAATGGTAGATTCAGTCTGTAGAATGACGACAAATGAAAATACACTGAAATCCAAATCTGAGTCTGAATCTGACAGCCTCAATGGAACTTCCAACTCTTCAGCTGAAGCCAGAAACCCAAGCAAGGAAATGAGTCCTCAAGTTTCAGGATATGTGGAGTATCTTGATGGAAAATCCACAGTTAGTGATGCTAGCCCAAAGGAGGGAAGGATGTTGGTTTTTGAAGCCTGTGACAATGAAAATTTAGTTGCTACAAAGAGAGTTGTATGTGCATTTTGCCAGTTTCCAGAGGACTCAGAGGTACACAGCCACTCGTTTCATATTTATCTCCCTTGGATTAATCCTCGGGGCCTGCTTTCTCTTTCATGAATCATCGGACATCCAGGCAAAATCTCGAGTATCTTTACCAGTTCTTTTGATTTTGTAGTGTATTATCAGGGCAACTTTTCCAAATATCTTAATCATTTTTTTAACTTTTCATTGATATTTTTGGCTTTCTCACCATGCATGTTTTTGGTTTTCTTGATTGGTTATGATTGAACTTGATAAATCAATTATAATATAAAAACCAAGAGTCTGATTTTTTCTCTTTGGGGTAGCTCAGCTGTAGGAATTGAACTTGTGATGTGGCGCTGCTAAACATCAGTTGCTAACCACTCAAGCCCAAGCCCAATTCCCAAAAATCTGATTCATTTATTTTGTGTGCATTACAGCTGATGATCTTACTGACAAAAATTTGATTGTGAAATTTCAGGCTTCAGGGCAGATGTTACATTACATCAACGGTAAACCAGTGGGAGATGATTACAAGACCCAATCTAATTCCTTGCATGTTCACAAGAAATGTGCTGAGTGGTAATTTGTGGAAATGTTTGCATTTCATCTTCCCATTTAATATTTTAAGGAGGTTGGTTTTACAGTATATAACCTAAAACCTAGTGCTGTCATGATCGTTGTATCAAAGTTAATGTTGCAAGTTCAAAACTAACACTTTTTAATGAAGACTGATAGTTCTTGTGAAATGAATCTAGTTGGCACTTTCTATCACAATTAACTATTGACTATTAATCAGAGGCACTCTTTATGTAAAACATTGTTATTTGCTGGTAACTGGCCCATGCTTTATGAAAGAAACCGACCCATGGAAATCAAACTTGAATGATCATTCAGATTAGCCTACTTTTCACTGACACAATATCTGGGAAACACTATTGGCACATCCGATTTAGGAATATTTTGAAGTGAAGTTGCCTATTAGAAGGAATAAGTCCTGGTGTCCTTATGACATGTATGATGATTCAAAATAACTATTGATCTGCAATTGTAGGGCTCCAAAGGTTTATTTTGTGGGTGATATTGCTATTAATCTAGAATCAGAAGTAGCAAGAGGTGCAAAGATGAAATGCAATATTTGTGGGCTCAAGGGGGCAGCACTCGGGTGTTATGCTAAGAGCTGCCGTAGGACTTTCCATGTTCCCTGTGCAGTGCAAGCTCCTGAATTTCGCTGGGATTGTGTGAGTTTGATAAAATTGACTGTTTTTGTGACAAATATATGTACTTGTGCTTGTGGTGAATTAAGCATATAAGATTTCTGACAAATTCTTTTTACAGGAAAATTTTGTTATGCTTTGTGCTGTGCACTCATCCTTCCGTTTACCAAATGAAGTGGCTGTGACTGGAAGGCATAGAAAGCTACATCATTCATCAGGGTTGGTTATTTTTCTATGTACTTATGGTTTTATGGTGAATTTTATACTCTTATAAGATGCTTATACTTAATCCTGTAAATAAAAAGCTAGTTGAATTGGAAAAAATTGCCTGAAAAACTCTACTCACCTGTTGGGTGAGAGATTCATAAATGAGAAACTCGACTGTGTCCGAGTATTTTGTAGTATATAATCTTGTATGCGTATTTTGATGTTATTTCCAAACTCTGGTGTGCTTTATTTAAAGATCTGGGAATGATTCCTAGTACAGTTTTTTGAAAATTTTCAGAATTTTCTCAAAAATTTGAAAAACACACTAAGTTCCTTTTTCAACTCCAAGATTTGAATCGTTTTTGTTCATGACCTGCTTTCAAGTTTCTTAGTAAAGAATAACTCATAAAATATATAAACATTACAAATTCCTAAATAGAACCATGAGCTATGTTTGTAAAACATAGGATGTTTTGGGGCGTTCTTTATTGTTGCCTTCATTTTCGGTTTCTTTTGAGATAGTGACTAGCTTGTGAACCTGATCTCGCCTTATAGGGTTCTTGAAGACACAAGGTGTTCACCTGGTTCATCGATTAACAATCGGAGCAAAAATTGGACAGATTCGCATGCCATAGGTAGCAAATGGGTGTTGTGCGGCTCTGCTCTCAATGCTGAAGAGAAGGTAACACCCTTTTCTCTTTCACACTAGAAACTTAAGGGACTAAGTTCAAATATTCAATTTGGAATAGAGAGATTGAGTGCCATTTTACTTTTTTCAATAATCTATTTTGAACCTGTCCTATGTCCTGAATCTATCTTCCCTGTAGGAAAATCATGTAATCTAAAGACAATTTTCGGAAGATGACAAATATTATGATTATAGTATGACCAATTCAATACTTTGAACTCGTTATCTCTATAGTTATTGATAAATTGAGAAAATGGGGTTCCCAAAAAGCTGACCACTTGCAATTGAAAATTTTGTCGCGTGCATGTGTCACCTAACTTATATTATCAACATGACATATTTACAACTTACCACACTGATTCAAGTCAAATGGTCACCCAAGCTTAAGAACATTTTGTCTTGAGTGTTGAGACTAAGATTGATTCACTTGACTGGTAAGTTGGAGCATAAGAAAATGAAAAGATTCTTCTTGAGCCATTGCCTTTGGGGACATATGACCTTACTATTGTACAAAAGGCAAGAAAGGATATACAATCTAGATACAATAAAATCCTCAGATGTTGGATTCGAGTTTGGTGATTAACCTACGAATGGATGAGGTATCCTTGATTCTTAAAGGAATAAATGCCTAAAGTGTTCCCGACAGTTTTAACTTTTGAAGAAATGGCCAAACAATGCTAAGTTACATCTTTCCTGTTTGTTCTTTTTCTGGTGTTCTTGTGTTGCTTTCATGAAATATTCACAATTACTTTAAATTGCTTTGTGCCACCTCGTCCCCTCATGAGCAATCTCCTTTTTCCTTTTTTATGTTGTGTCTGCTCGATTTGTTTTATGTTACTGTGGCTAATATCAAACTTGCAGGATTTCGTTGCAAGGTTTGCAAAATTGAGTGGTGCAATTATGTCTAAGGCTTGGAGCCCAGATGTGACTCATGTCATTGCTTCCACTAATGGCAATGGTGCTTGCAAAAGAACCCTCAAATTCCTGATGGCCATCTTGGAAGGAAGATGGATACTGAACATTAACTGTGAGCTACTCAAGCATTCATTAACTATTTTTTAGTCTAGAAGTGAAATTTCTTCCATTCTGCAGAACAGAAAAATCCCAACATGGTTTCGTATCACCAGTTATTTTGCTTGTTCTGGCATGGTTCTGAGCTGTGATGACATATTATAATCTGTGTTTGAAAACTCAATTGGGTGGGGGGGTCTGCCTCAGCTGGCCCAGTCCCAATTCTGACTTGGGAAGGCCGTGACCAGAATCACAGGTTTTTCTAAATTCCCAGACAGGCTTGGTCAAGACTTCAAATGACTCAAAGACACATTCTCTAGTACAGGGTCAAATTCTCATTACTCAGTCTAAACTTGGTCAAAACTCAGGTCATTTGGAACCGACGGGGTTCCAGTTTTAAACACTGTATCTTTTAGCGAAGTATACCATGAACGGGTACTACCCATTGATTATGTCACACTTGTTTTAGTTTTCTTTTTGTTTTTGTTATCCCGAAATACTAAAATAATGATTTCCTTTTTCCTTGTTAAACCCGATTGGATTGAGTACCCTTTCTTTATCTCCCCAAAATTTCAAAAAATTCTTGTTATACTTGACATAAAAATAATGATATCTTCATTTGTTTATTAACATACTCATGGGTTTGTATTGTTCATTATAGGGATCAAAGGATGCTTGAAAGCCATGTCTCCTGTGAGTGAAGAACCTTATGAAATTAAGTTTGATATCAATGGTTCTCATGAGGGGCCCAAAAATGGCCGCCTTAGAATCATGCAAAAGGTAAACCTCTCTCTGGTATTGGTGAGCTTAAACAAACATGGGGTAATCAATAATCACATTTTGTACCGATGCAGGTGCCCAAGCTACTCGAAGGCTTGACTGTTTATTTCAGTGGTGAGTTTGAAGACTCTTACAAGGGATACTTGGAAGATCTAGTTTTAGCAGCTGGGGGCACAATATTAGACACAAAACCTGATTCTATCGCACTCTGTGAACAAATAACTGAAAATCCATCTACCATCATTATATACAGTTGTGAGCCTCCTCCAAAGTGCAAACCTAGTCAGGTTTCTTCAGTTATAGACAACAGGTTCAGTCAAGCCAAGACCTTGGCAGCACAAACTGGTGCCAATGTCTGCGGTCACATCTGGCTCTTGGACACTATAGCAGCTTGTAGACTGCAACCTTTTGAGTGCTAAAAGAGAGATGCCCTCACTTTAATTTCTACAAAAAAGAGCATGTTATAATTTATTAGTGCTTTATTTTGCTATTAATCCTTTTAGTTTATGTTTGTGCATTATTTGTGATGGGCTCCCCTACCCATGTGTTCTATTTTGCTATTAATTTTTTTTGTTTATGATTGTGTCTATGGGTTCGTGTTGATCCCATCAGGGTTTATACAAGAAAACAGTTGATCAGTTCGGGTCAACCTGTCAGGTAGCTGAAACCAATATTCGAGTTTGAATAAATTCCCTCACCCAGCGGGTGTGACTAGGTCTAATTTGTCCCAAATTGACTGATGTCTGGGTTCTGGTCCAAGGTTATGCTAGCCAATTGGTTCTGATTTGGACTCACTCATTTACAGCCCTACTTGTGAGAAACCATGTAGATATACTCTAGAAACTTTTCAAAGTTATGATTAAAAGAAAAAAGTTTATATAAGGTAGTGACGTGCACTACTGAAATCTATGTAAAGAGTTCTTTAAAGTTCGAAAACTTTTCAGTTGATCATCTTGACAGCGATATGCATACATATAAAAAGGAAAAAAAAGAAAGAAGGTCAAGTCCTAAAAATAGTACATTTTATAACAAGTAAATGAATCTGTCTATTTTCAAAATTTTCAAGTATTTATAAATCTGCTTGATGTGTGCCTTGTATAGTATGAGGTGTGTACCTTATGCAAGCCTGACCTTAATTAAATTGTAGTTTTTTTTTCCTTTCTAAATGACAATGCACCCAAGTTCATTAGACATGCTTCTCCTATACCATTAGTTGGTATTTTCAATTTGAAGTACCTCACTGGAAGGAAGATGATTTGTGGGAAAAGGAAAAAAAAAGTAGTCCAGGCACTATTTTGAAAATCCAAGTTTTTTGTAGCACCTTCATGAACTGTGCAGCTCTTCCAGGCACTGATTTGGTAGTTCTCCTTTAATCTACTCTCTCTCCTGGTTGGATGCTCTACTGTTGCAACAAATGAGGGAAATGGTTTCAAAACTTGGTTAAATCCGTTATTAAAGAGTACATGCTGTTCATAACTCTAGAAAGAAGGGGCTAGTTTTTCACTGATTTCCAAACAAACCCACTCCTTTAGGGTGATTAAGATGGACTATGACTATTGTAGTCTTGTTTACTTTAAATCAACTTAAGGAAAAACAACCGTTTTCCAATGGTGTTTCATTTAAATAAAAAACACAACTCTTTTCTAATGGTGATCTTGCAGTGATGGGTTTCAGAAATGGAGCTGCCCAAATATGTTGGTCAATGACTAGTTTATTTAAGCAAGGAGTAGGATAGAGTAGGGTTGTTAATTTCACCACAAAAATGTTAATGTGGCCTTCAAAAACGTTGTGATTGATATGTTGTCCCAGACAACAATGGATACAGAAAGAGTCGGTTTCATCATCATTGTCAAAGCTGTTTTCCAGTTAATTGGGATTGGTTAGATCTGGCATTTTGTTATATTACAGGCCATACCCTCAATGAGGTCATAAGTCATCGTATTTTTTTTCACTACTTTCAACTATTTCTTTTTGGACTTACTATTGCCCTTTTGAGCTTTCCACTTAAATTAACTCGGACCTCTTAATAAGTGTTGTATTGCATGTGCGTCACACATAACCAACCCACTTATGTCTACTCTTTTATCTTATTGTCTATTGGTGCCATACTTAAATTTTTTTATAAAAAAAAAAAAGAATTTCAAATCTAAAAAATAATACATTTCGCAGTAGATTACTTGGATGGTCAATTTTCAAATGCTTATAAATCCACAAGATCCACTCCATGTTTAGAGTTTCAAATTTCATAACAAAAAGGCATGAGTAGATTTTCAGGCTTTATTGTAAATAGCCGAGGCCTTAGGCTAATGAACCCCTTAAATAAAGGAAAAGGTTAGCCGTGGTTCGCTCGAAATTGCTTTCCATTGCCTAAAAGCTACAAAATTGATAATTTCGACCTCATAATTTTGGATAAAAAAACAAACCCATTTTAAACCCTAAAAATATCATACCTTGTTAGACATTATCTAGACTGCTCTATTTTAAATTGTCAAATTTGTAGACATGCACCATTTTTAAACCTTAAAATTTTAGCTAAAATAGATCTTGAGTTTGAGACGCCAGAATTTTCACATTTTACTATAAAGCAACGACACGCTAGGCACGAAATAATACTTTTAATAGGTAAAAGTGTTTTATGTCGGGGGGCCGCATGAGGGCCATTTGTGCCATCAAACTCAGTTGGATGGCGCAGATTACACTACATTTTTAGGATATCCATTGTCCACTAACATAGATGGTGTGAGATGCAAGAGCTGCACTCGGGTCCGGAAACGTAAAAACCGGGTCCATTAATTAATATTTAGGTCAGTGGCCCGTCCATCTGTGCAGATGTTGGGCCAAAAATCAAAGTTTAAAAAATCGGTAACCCGATCCGGGATCGGGTGATCCGGATCGAGAATCGCCTAGGATGCTCAAATTAGGTCAAAAAAAGGGATTCGGGTGGTTCCAAATAGTAAAATGGCTGATTTCGACGATTCTTCACCGAGTCGAGCGAAAAAAAAGGATGAACATTTTTTTCTTGAATTATTTTTTAAAAAAATTTGAAACAAAAATTACCGATTCCGCTGATTTTTCCAATCCGATTCACCCAATGGTTTAAAAACCGGATCGGTGACCCGGATCGGGCTTTCCAAAAACCGATCCGGATCGGCGAATCGGCGATCCGGATCGGAATAGGGTAAATCGGTCAGAATAAAGCTTCAAAAAAATCCGAAAAAATTATTAAAACTCATTATAAATATTGTTTTTTAGGAATTCAATAAAAAATGAGGGTACTCCATTAAGAATTTTCATGTTTTTGAATGAATATGCGAATATCGATATGTTCTTCCCTTGCATGAACCGCCATTCAACATTTAATTTACATCACACAAAAGGATAAACATAGAATTATCATGGAATAAGTATATCAACATACATGGACTACAATAAAGCATAAAATTAGTAACATACGATCTAAAAATAAAATGATAGACGACGTTGTTGTTCTTCTTGGTCACGCTGGTGCCATTGATTGAATTCGTTTGACAATTCATTGATTCGATTTAAAAACGAATCATCAATATTAGCGGGCGTCTGACTATTTTCAAATCCTTGAGTGTTAGTGTTTTGTTGTGTTCCCAATCCAAAATCCTCGAAGCTTGTCCATCCTTCATGCTCACCTGCACTGTCGTGCTCATCCCTACACTGTTGCTGTTGGGACTCGATATGTGAATAATATGGCTGGGATAGGGTGGCC